TTTTTTTTTTCCTGATTTAATGAAAATGTGCAATTACCTGTTGCAATAGTAGACAGCATTTTGAGGATTAAGCTGGATGGCTTTAGAGTAGAACACAACGGCTGCACTAAAGTTCTCTACCTTCATCTGATCATTGCCTGCAGGTACATACATGCAACACTTGAGTGAGAGGACCTTATGAAGCATCCTGAAATGGTAAAGTTGTAATGGTCTTACCGTCTGTTTTAAGATGCTCTGCCTCTGCTAACTGCTCCTCTGAAGGTGAACCACTGGATGAATTGGTTTTATTTTGAGGTGTCTGCTACATATAACAATGTCTTAAGAAAAGTCCATTCAACACTATGAATAAACATGTCAAAATGACATGAACAGCTTTTACCTGTTTAGTTGCAGAGGCAAATATCTCTGGCAGAGACGGACTGACTGCTAAACTCTGGTCCTCTACAGAGATGCCAAACGATGTCTCCAGGCACTGGATGGCGACTACATAAAAGGGTAAATTAGGAATTACCAACCAATAGCATAACAGTGTCCGGCACTGATTTTAGCACTAAGGTTTTACCTTCTAAGCTTTCTTGAGCATCTGATGACAGACTCCCAGAGGACAGCTGATCATGGAGAAACTGGATGATGGAGAATGCGAGACGCTTTGTGTCTGCCATTCTGTCTTGAGGCTTAAACCTCACCAAATCAATATGTGAAGGAAACCTACGAGACAGGGACAAGTGTTATTATTACCAACTACAACATTATAGAAACAGAGCAGTAGAACAGCATGATAATGGTTTGTAAATCAGAGACACATCAGTTTGGCATTAATGATTCCGAATGTTACAATGTATTTATTCCTGTTCTGGATTTAATACTAAACATCCACAGTAACTCCGTAACGTTACACGTGATTTAAACGCGAAATAGCAACCAATGTAAGACGGTTACAAATTAACAACCTTCAAATATGTAACCATCGCTGAGAACATGTGCTTAAGACGTGAATATGTTCACTGAGTCAAAACAAAGTTATTATGAGAGATGGAACATTCTAGCACTAACTAGCTGTTAGCTCATGCTAACAGTTGCCATTGGTTTGCAACGTAATTCTGTTAGCATTAGCTTCAGTAC